AGGTTCGACGAATGGAAAAGAAAGGAATGTGAGAACACAGAAGAGGTTAGATGAGTGGAAAAAGATGGGCAACATAAGGAGACGACAGAGGGGAAGATTGAACGGCAGAGAAAAATAGACTATAATAGTCAGTCAGTCAATAGTCATAGAAGGAAAGAAGAAGTCAGATATATAAGAAAAAGAGAACAAAAGAGTTATTTGGCATGTAAGTTGCTTGGGGATGATAAGGGAGCACTAAGAGAAATTTTTACAGAATTTTGGAATGGGGAAAAACAGGATTTTACGTTTTACAAACAAAACTACGGAAGATAGAGACTTGACGTTTAGAACATAGGATTTGAGGTGTACTCTGAAAATACTTCTCGAAATTCCCACGGAAACGGGGCACGGGAACGTTAAAAAACGGGATTATGCACGCATGAAGTAACCCTTAAACTACAAGTTACCTCGCGCGCAGCCGCGATGTATTTTTAGCGCATTTTGTAGGAATAAAAAAAAGTGCTATTGTTTGCGTTTTGTCCGTCTGTCCGGACACACTTCTGCGGTTTTGAACTACTTTTAGGGGAGTGGTCCCAAGAGCCCTGGATTTTTTTGCAATACTTAGCCAATATCTTCAAGGTGTGCCCGACGGTTATCAAATTTTGCTGTATCACCCCCCCCCCCCCCCCATAAATTATTTCCTGCGATACTGCTTTTGAAAGCAACCAACTGGTCTCCTTTGCATACGCCTACCTTTAGTGCTGCCAAGTAAAATTTTTGAAAATTGGGGAGGGGGTTGGGGTTTAACATACGTTCTACCCTCTAATTTTCACAAACTATAACTTTCCTGCGCGACTATTTTTCGAGATCAGTAGGTGGCCGGGGGAGAGGGAGGGGGGAAAAAGAAATTATTAATAATCTTTTATGGTAGGTACTCTAATTAAAGGTCTCAATAAAAGGAACTGTTTTCTGCCAACTACCGCCCTTCTTTTTGACTCCTTATCAAAAGAGGGAGGGGGGGGGGGTGGAATTTGCGGCGCTCCGGGCCAGTTTAGTTCGTGATAATTTATGAATATCCTTTAGATGTGTTAAAATAATAGAATTTTGTCAGTTATTTCGTTTAATAAAGTGGTCTCGGCAACGGAATATCGTTGAATTTTCGGGTTTTCAGCATTATATTCGTACTATCGCGATATTCCTGCATTGCGCAGTTGTGATAATTTATGAATATCCTTTAGATGTGTTAAAATAATAGAATTTTGTCAGTTAGTTCGTTTAATAAAGTGGTCTTGGCAACGGAATATCGTAGAATTTTCGGGTTTTCCGCATTATATTCGTACTATCGCGATATTCCTACATTGCGCAGTCGTGATAATTTATGAATATTCTTTAGATGTGTTAAAGTAATAGAATTTTGTCAGTTATTTCGTTTAATAAATTGGTGTCGGCAACGGAATATCGTAGAATTTTCGGGTTTTCCGCATTATATTCGTACTATCGCGATATTCCTACATTGCGCAGTCGTGATAATTTATGAATATTCTTTAGATGTGTTAAAATAATAGAATTTTGTCAGTTATTTCGTTTAATAAAGTAGTCTCGGCAACGGAATATCGTTGAATTTTCGGGTTTTCAGCATTATATTCGTACTATCGTGTTATTCCTGCATTGCGCAGTCGTGATAATTTATGAATATCCTTTAGATGTGTTAAAATAATAAAATTTTGTCAGTTAGTTCGTTTAATAAAGTGGTCTTGGCAACGGAATATCGTAGAATTTTCGGGTTTTCCGCATTATATTCGTACTATCGCGATATTCCTACATTGCGCAGTCGTGATAATTTATGAATATTCTTTAGATGTGTTAAAGTAATAGAATTTTGTCAGTTATTTCGTTTAATAAATTGGTGTCGGCAACGGAATATCGTAGAATTTTCGGGTTTTCCGCATTATATTCGTACTATCGCGATATTCCTGAATTGCGCAGTCGTGATAATTTATGAATATCCTTTAGATGTGTTAAAATAATAGAATTTTGTCAGTTATTTCGTTTAATAAAGTAGTCTCGGCAACGGAATATCGTTGAATTTTCGGGTTTTCCCCATTATATTCGTACTATCGCGATATTCCTGCATTCCGCAGTCGTGATAATTTATGAATATCCTTTAGATGTGTTAAAATAATAAAATTTTGTCAGTTAGTTCGTTTAATAAAGTGGTCTCGGCAACGGAATATCGTAGAATTTTCGGGTTTTCCGCATTATATTCGTACTATCGCGATATTCCTACATTGCGCAGTCGTGATAATTTATGAATATCCTTTAGATGTGGTAAAGTAATAGAATTTTGTCAGTTATTTCGTTTAATAAATTGGTCTCGGCAACGGAATATCGTAGAATTTTCGGGTTTTCCGCATTATATTCGTACTATCGCGATATTCCTACATTGCGCAGTCGTGATAATTTATGAATATCCTTTAGATGTGTTAAAATAATAGAATTTTGTCAGTTATTTCGTTTAATAAAGTGGTCTCGGCAACGGAATATCGTTGAATTTTCGGGTTTTCAGCATTATATTCGTACTATCGTGTTATTCCTGCATTGCGCAGTCGTGATAATTTATGAATATCCTTTAGATGTGTTAAAATAATAAAATTTTGTCAGTTAGTTCGTTTAATAAAGTGGTCTTGGCAACGGAATATCGTAGAATTTTCGGGTTTTCCGCATTATATTCGTACTATCGCGATATTCCTACATTGCGCAGTCGTGATAATTTATGAATATCCTTTAGATGTGTTAAAATAATAAAATTTTGTCAGTTAGTTCGTTTAATAAAGTGGTCTCGGCAACGGAATATCGTAGAATTTTCGGGTTTTCCGCATTATATTCGTACTATCGCGATATTCCTACATTGCGCAGTCGTGATAATTTATGAATATCCTTTAGATGTGTTAAAATAATAGAATTTTGTCAGTTATTTCGTTTAATAAAGTAGTCTCGGCAACGGAATATCGTTGAATTTTCGGGTTTTCCCCATTATATTCGTACTATCGCGATATTCCTGCATTCCGCAGTCGTGATAATTTATGAATATCCTTTAGATGTGTTAAAATAATAAAATTTTGTCAGTTAGTTCGTTTAATAAAGTGGTCTCGGCAACGGAATATCGTAGAATTTTCGGGTTTTCCGCATTATATTCGTACTATCGCGATATTCCTACATTGCGCAGTCGTGATAATTTATGAATATCCTTTAGATGTGTTAAAATAATAGAATTTTGTCAGTTATTTCGTTTAATAAAGTGGTCTCGGCAACGGAATATCGTTGAATTTTCGGGTTTTCAGCATTATATTCGTACTATCGTGTTATTCCTGCATTGCGCAGTCGTGATAATTTATGAATATCCTTTAGATGTGTTAAAATAATAAAATTTTGTCAGTTAGTTCGTTTAATAAAGTGGTCACGGCAACGGAATATCGTAGAATTTTCGGGTTTTCCGCATTATATTCGTACTATCGCGATATTCCTGAATTGCGCAGTCGTGATAATTTATGAATATCCTTTAGATGTGTTAAAATAATAAAATTTTGTCAGTTATTTCGTTTAATAAAGTGGTCGTCCGACCTTATCTAATTGATGAGTACGATATTATTTATTATGCTCGCATGCTATGGTTCTCATTGGCCAATTTCAAATAAATTGGGTACTCTGAACAGATACGGCCGTAAATCGTAGTTTTTTTAAGTTAGTCGATAACCCGATCTCCCGAATTTTGTAGCTACTTTTATAAAGAGAATGTTAGCCCTTTTAAAATGTGTCACTCAATTTCGAAATTAGGAGAAACCTTCCATTAAACTTATATACAGTGCTATTTAATAAGAAGTAGACAGGGATTTATGTGTATGTTTACTTTTAAATGACAAAATCTTTTCTGAAGGGCGCCTAATTTTATTCAACTAAAATAACTTCTTAAAACAAATAAAGATCTGGCTGGCTGTCATATTAATTAATTTGAATATTGTTGCTTTGGTTTCCGTATTTTTATTTTCATTCGGCTGCGATGTATTGCGTAATTATAACATTTGGCGACCGTGACAGGACTGTGTGAAGACGCAAGAAGTTGTAATGCCTCTTCTACCGCATATTTACCTGTATAGAAATTGACGGGTGTACTTCTCTGCTACGTCCATATCTATTGTTAAACCGCCGGTAACAGTTTAAGGAGCATAAGGGATTAATTTTCTGTTAAGACAAAGTAACAATATTCAAACTAATTATTCTGACAGCCAGATGTTTATTTGTTTTAAAATGATATTTTCGATGCATAAAAGTAGTCTACTTCTTAATGAATATCACTGTATACATTTTTTGATTTTTTATCAAAATTACAGATAACAATCGGTGGTTCGTTTTGAAACGAAAGCCGAGAAGACCTACGGCAAGGCGCGTAAGCGACGGATTCTCATTTTTTCTAGAATTTCGAAATGAAAATTTGGAATTAGTTAAGCCTCAATCAATTTTAAACGAATCTGCGGAATTGTCACGAAAGCGATCTAAAATATGGGGTTACACAAGCCGACGCTGGACGTCGATATGCGCGATTTTGGACACAATCAGTAACTCGAATTCGATAAATGACAACCCTTAATTGAATTAGCCTATACCGGCGGGTATTATGTTTCAGAATGATATCGATCACCACCATGAATTGAACCGACGCGACGGCTGTAAACCCTTTAGTTAATTGAGTGTTTACAAATCGGTGACATTGTACTTAAAACGTTATCAATTCATAGCTAGGTAGCTAACTAATGGCAATCGATCAGCCTTGTTCGACTGCAAATGTTAATTATATGTAATTAAAATAATGGACAAGTGCGCGTTAATACCGAACGAGCGAAAAAATGCGATAGTAAAAGTAGTTTAATCCGTTTTAAAGTTTAACGAGCTTTATGGCGTCGCGACGCCAACTACTGACGTTACGGGATACACATTTTTACGAAAATCAGAATTAAGAAACTCACCTGAAATGAAAAAGAAAAGAAAATTTTATAAATGGGCAGTGTGGTACAATGGAAAGTCGATATATATCACTCCATCTATTTGTTCACTTAGTCAAACACAATACCGAGTTAAGCCCCAGTACTTAGTGTAGATAAAACCCGAGTTTAGCGCAAATCGGTTTACAGTGGATTCTCTAACTATATACACGCTCCTAATACGAAAGCTGTATTAAATAAGTAGAATTGATCCTAACTTTTCGTTCTGCAGGACACGCCCCAATCTACCGTCGGGAAAGCTCGTGGCGCGCATCGCAGCTCTGGAGGAAAACCGCGTCTTCGCGCGTCGCCCTTTTAAGGCCCTTTTCGAAAAACATTCTTTCGCATCCGACGCACGGCGTCATCAATCAACGGAAATTCGCCTCGGGCGAAACGCACTTCTTCCCTAATAAACCGCCTGGATGAGAGTTTCCCGGAGCGCGCCTTACCTTTCGCGAAAAACAAAACGCAATATTTCATATGCACGGCCCCCACACCCCCGATCGTCGTTTAAATACTCTTCCCGTAGCGATCCAGCGGGAACGCGTCGCGATCGCGCCCCCACGTCCACGACCAACAACCAGCTGGACGCCTGTACGGACCGGAAAATTGAAAATCCTCCCCCGGCACGCGCGCCGCGCACACCGGCCATTCGCCGGAAAATCCTCCGCTCCAATGGCGTCCCTTAAACGTCAAGTAGGAACAGTCAGTTTCGGTTGCGGTATGGTATATTATTAATAACCGATATCTTTCTTATTGACTAGATAAGCCTCCTGTGTACAATGCACAAGATGTAATAAATTATTAAGTGATTTCGAGTATATCGGAAATTGGGGTTGCTTTATTTTCATTTTCTCCCTTCCTTTTTTTTAGGATTATTGTCTCCCTTAATCGATTTTATAGTTTTTGGCATTCTGCACGCAGTAAATACTTACGACTTTTCTCAATGAGACATACAAATTGACTTTTTACCATTTGAAAATCGCCCTGATTTTCTCGACTAAGAACAACGAACTCCATAAATAGAGTAAATAATCGGAGTTATGAGAAATTTCGAGGAGTAAAGCAAACTAGAGACAGAAAATTACAGGAATTACTCGACCAGCAAATTAAGTGAACTGTACTGAAAAAGCTACACACGCTCCTGTATTTTCAGAATTTCAAACTGCCGGATTATTCATACGACGATCCTAAGATTCTTCAAATTGGTTCGTTTCTTTCAATTTTTCAGATTCATCAGGTTGCTCTTCCTATTTTTTTCAGTCTTTAAACCCTCCCTACTTAATTACTGATTTTGCTACTGCCTTTACAAAGGTAACAAAAGAAATTCTGGATAATGCCTTCTCAATTTTTTGGAAATATGCCACTTTCTAGTTAAAATTTTCCAGATTATTCGGTTTAAAATTCAAGTGCAATTCAAATTTTCCGGATTCGCCAGTTTAAGTTAAACATTTTTCGTTTATTCGAATTCTTGGGATTCTTCAAATTCGCTTGAGTTGCATTCCTTTCTTTCTACGGATTCGTTCCATTGTTTTATAGTTTCTTCAGATCCATTTGAAAATGGATCAAATTTCGTTTATTTCATAGAATCCTTCTCAGGCAAATGATTCAGATCTATCGCAACCTTTAATATTTTCAATTTTTGAATTTTTTTAGGGTAGGGTTAGCGTTTCTTGAAATACTTTGGATCATTCAGATTCTTCGAATCCTTTTGAATTTTCAAATGTTATATTATTATCCTTTTCTTCAGATTCTTCCAATCTTGTAGACTCTATGTGATCTTCCATATTCTCCAATCTTTTAGAATTTTTCTCTGTGGAGATCTAAGATTTTAAAATCCAGGCCAATCTCTCAAGTGTCCAGGGTTTTTCTGCTACTCTGAATTTTTTTTTAAATTTTCTGTTTCTTCGAATTATTCAGATCCGTTATCTTTTTCAAATTCTTTTTCCATCAAAGTCTTATGATTCTTCCTTTTCATTAAAATCTTTCATTTTTTCGAAATCTTCAGATTCTTCCCAATCTTCTCATAACCTTCTGGATTTTGAAATTAACTCCTTAATTTCTTCAAACCCTTAAGATAATAGTTTATACTCGTATTATTCAAATTATACATACCCTTATCATTTTTAGGATACCTCCTTTTTATTGAATTTTTTTGACTTTTTGGTTTGAAATACCTTCATCTACCTATATTAATTCTTTTAAATTCGATCGATTTTTCAGTTTCTGCAAATGGTTAATTATTGTAGGTACGTAGTGTTTCTCATTTTTTTATTTTCTCGAATCTTTGTATTCTCCACGTTTCTCTGATCTCTCTTTCGTTGCCTCAAATTCTCCAATTATACTAATTCTTTCAACTATTGAAATTCGTCAGTCACTTGGGATTCGTCAAAACACCTAAGCAGTGATACAGGCAGGTTTAAGGTCCCTCACCACATGACGGTGGCCTTGGAAAGTAGGTGAAGGTGAAGCCCAAGAGCATTTTCCCTTTCCCTCAAGCACCGTTCTGGTGTTAGCTTAGAACGGTTGTGACCTTAGAAAGTAGACGAAGAAAAGTTTATAGATCGCTCGTATCCAAAGGCCAATCACCTCACTTTATGGTGTCATATCTTCTTTCAAGGCCATGACCTCATATTTGCGGTACCATTCCATTTCCAAGTTCATCAAAAATAAAAAATAAGGTCATTTAAAAATGTGGAGATCAATGATAACCTTGAAAATAAAATGTGAAATCACAAAAAATGGGGTTATTGACTTCTGATGACCTTGGAAAATGGAACATGAAAAAAAATGATGTCATTGATCTTAGATGACCTTGAAGATAAAATATGGCACCGCAAAAAATAGGGACATTGATCTCTGATGGGCATCAAAAATACAAAATAAGGTCATTTAAAAGTGTGGAGATGTTGGTAACCTTGAAAATGAAATGTGAAATCACAAAAAATGTGGTAATTGACTTCTGATGACCTTGGAAAATGGAATATGAAAAAAATTAGGTCATTGATCTTTGATTACCTTGAAGATAAAATATGGCACCGCAAAAAATAGGGGCGTTGATCTCTGATGGGCACGAAAATGGAATGACACCGCAAAGAGGAGGTCATTGGGATTTGATAACCTTGAAAATGAAATATGAGACCCCAAAAATGGTGTCATTTATTCATGATAACTGTGGATATGAAATAGGAGATTACAAACAGTGCAGTCATTGACCTCTGATGACTTTGAAAATAGAAAATTACACAGCATCAAGGAACTTATTGAGTTTTCATAACGTGAAGATGAAACCTCTAATGACCTTGAACAAGGCACCGCGGTGTTCATTGAACTTTGATAATCTTAAAAATGGAATATCACACCACACAAAATGGGGTGATTTACCGCCGACAACCTTGGAAACGAAAAATGACACCACAGAAAAATTGGGCTATTGACTTCTGATGTCCTTGAAAATGCAATATTACACAATGAGGACAGTGAACTTTCATAACCTTGAACATAAAACATGAGACTAAAAAATGGGATTGTTGACTTATGATGACTTTGGAAATTGAATATGGTATCGCAAAAAAATGAGGTAATTGATCTTTGATAACCTTGAAAATGAAACATAACACCACACAGACTGGTATCATTGACCTCTGGTCACCTTGAAAATAGAATATGATAAAAGAGGTCGTTATAAACTTTGATAACCTTGAAAACGCAATATGACACCTCAAAAGGACGTATGGCAGCGCAAAAATGAGGTTATTGTCCTTTAATGACCTTGAAAATAAAATAAGGTGCCGGAAAGAAGTGGAGACTATTGATGGTCTTGAAAATGAAATATGACACTGCAATGATAAGATGATGATGATCATTGAACTGCTCTAAACCTAATTTCCAAGGTTACAAACGTTCCAAGGTCAACAACAGAAAAGCACTTAAGGGAAGAGGCGAGTTCCCTTGCGTCTCACCTTGACCTCCTCGTGGCCGGTTACTTTAGAACTTCACCTTGGCCTATACTTTCCAATGTCATCGCCAGGTGGTGAGCGACGTTGAATGGTGGTGCATCTCTGTATCAATACTCACTATTTGAGTTTTTCCGATCCTTCTCTATCTACATGTTTGAATTTTTCGTTGGAATTTCCGGATTGTTACAATTTATTTACATTATTCAGGCATCACATCTTCACTTCTTCAAATCTTCAAATCTTCAAATCTTCAAATCTCCAAATCTTCAAATCTTCAAATCTTCAAATCTTCAAATCTTCAAATCTTCAAATCTTCAAATCTTCAAATCTCCAAATCTCCAAATCTCCAAATCTTCAAATCTTCAAATCTTCAAATCTCCAAATCTTCAAATCTTCAAATCTTCAAATCTTCAAATCTTCAAATCTTCAAATCTTCAAATCTTCAAATCTTCAAATCTCCAAATCTTCAAATCTTCATATCTTCATATCTTCAAATCTTCAAATCTTCAAATCTTCAAATCTTCAAATCTTTAAATCTTCAAATCTCCAAATCTCCAAATCTCCAAATCTCCATATCTCCATATCTCCATATCTTCATATCTTCAAATCTTCAAATCTTCAAATCTTCAAATCTTCAAATCTTCAAATCTTCAAATCTTCAAATCTTCAAATCTTCAAATCTTCAAATCTTCAAATCTCCAAATCTCCAAATCTCCAAATCTCCAAATCTCCAAATCTCCAAATCTTCAAATCTTCAAATCTTCAAATCTTCAAATCTTCAAATCTTCAAATCTTCAAATCCTCAAATCTTCACATCTTCCCTTCTTCACATCTCCACATCTTTCTTTTTCTTTGGATTATTCAAATTCGTCATGTTTTTTCAGATCTATACGGCTCTTCAGATTTTTACTTTTCTGGGATTCTTAGGTTTCTTTCTTTACATTCTGGCAAACCTCAGATTCCTAAACTTTTACTCTTTTACGAATTCCTCTGATTTTTTCAGACTTCTCCAAACACAATGTAATTTGCACAATATGGCATTGAAAATAGAACAATACTTTTCTTAAAATAACATTTTCTGAAGTTTGTGGTTTCCTTCGTATACAAAATGAATTGGTTTCTTCCGTAAAATGGATACTTCTTAGATTATCTTAGCTCGAATGTATTGTGGGTCTAATTTGGATAGCCGTCGGAAGCCTCAGAAGTACAAAGACGCAATGGAATTTTTTGGATACTGAATCAGTACTGGTGTTTTAGCACATTTTTTAAGAATTTAAAAAAATGTGCTATTGTTTGCGTTTTGTCCGTCTGTCCGTCCGGACCCACTTCTGCCGTTTCGAACAACTTCTAGGAGAATGGTCCTAGAGTCCTGGAATTTTTTTGTATTAGGTAGCCTATACCTTGAAGTTGTGCCAGACGGCCATCACATTTCACTGTCTAAAAGCCCCCCCCCCACGAAGTATTTCCTGAGATGCTGTTTTTAAAGTAAAACGTGCATAACTTTTACATACGACAACCAATTGGTCTCAGATTTTGCATACGCATGCCTTTAGTGGTGCCAAGTTAAACTTTAGAAAATGGGGGGGG